GAAAGAGGGGGAGGCCTTCAACGAGATGGATTGATACAGTGGCTGCGATGATGGGCTCGAGTATAGCAGGGATTGTGGGGCTGGTGAGGGATCGGGCAGTGTTTCGTTCTGCTGTGCATGGGGTCGCTATGAGTCGGAAACGACTCGACGGCACTTAACAACAACAACAACAAGGCATTTGACTATTAACCAGAAGGCTGGTGGTTCAAACCCACCAGCCACTCCTCAGAAGGAAGGTTACGCAATCTACTTCAGTAGTAATACCGCCTTGGAAACCCAAGGAGGGGTCGCTATGAGTTGGATCCAACTCAATAGCAGTGAGTTTTTTTTTTTTTTTTTTTGGTTTTCCACCAATTTTGGGCCCTCTGATGGCATAGTGCCTAAGACATTTGACTGCTAACCAGAAGGCTGGTGGATCAAACCCACCAGCCACTTCTTAGAAGGAAGATTGGGCAATTTACCTCTGTAGGGATTACTGCCTCAGACATCCAAGGAGGGGTTGCTCTGAGTCGAATGGACACGAGGGCAATAAGTTTGGTTTTTTAGTTCCACCAATTTTCAGTTTCCTAGTGCTCCTCTCTGGTAGTGTAGTGCCTAAGGCACTTGACTGCTAACCAGAAGGCTGGCAGTTCAAACTCACCAGCCACCCCTTGGAAGGAAAATGGGTCAATCTACTTCCCTAATGATACTGCCTCAGAAACCCAAGGAGGGGTTGCTATGAGTTGGGCCCGACTTGATAGCAAATAACAACAACAGTGCTCCTCTAACAAAAATGCCACTACTGGGTGGCTTAAAGACCAGATATTTATTTTCTCACAGTTCAGGAGGCTAGAAATCAGAGTTCAGGGTTTGGCTCCAGGAGGAGATCTTTGTCTATTTTAGCTTCTCAAACCACAACAAACTCACTGCCATTAAATGGATTCCCACTTATAGTGACCCCCGTTGAGTTTCCTAGGTGGTAAATCTGTACGGAAGTAGATTCCCCAGTCTTTCTTCCATAGAGTGGCTGGTGGATTTGAACTGCCAACCTTCTGTTCAGCAGTCAAATGCCTTAGGCACTATTCCACCGGAGTTCTTTATTTCAACTTCTAGAGGTGGCAATTCTTGAAATTCCTGGGCTTAGAGATTCATTTGCCTCTCTTGTCATCAGACAGTGTCTGTCTTCCCTGGTGTCTTTGTATCTATCAAACAACAACAACACACTGAAACTCACTGCTAACAAGTCGGTTCTGACTCATAGTGACCCCTCCTTGGGTTTCTGAGGCAATATCTCTACGGAAGTAGATTGCCCAATCTTCCTCTCAAGGAGTGGCTGATGGGTTTGAACCACCAGCCTTCTGGTTAGTAGTTAAATGTCTTAGGCACTACGCCAACAGAGCTCCTTTGTATCTGTGCTGCTCTTTATATAACTCAGAAGTGATTAGGTTCAGGGTCCACCCTATGCTGATATGACCTCCACTGATTGGTTGATCTCATTATATTAGATTGCATTATGTATTAAAGGTGATCATGTTAGATTAGATTAGATTACATTCACAAGTATAGAGGTGACATTTTAACACATATTTTGAAGGCAGGACACTGTTCACTCTGTAACATTTTAGCTTCCAAAACTCACTGCTGTTGAGTTGGATCCAACTCATAGTGACCCCTCCTTGGGTTTCCAAGGCAGTATCACTATGGAAGTAGATTGCTCTGTCTTCCTTCCAAGAAGTGGCTGGGGGGTTTGAACTGCCAGCCTTCTGGTTAGGAGTCAAATGCTTTAGGCACTACATTTGATCTCTTTGAAATTCAAGTTCCTCCTCTGTAAAATGAGATTGGATTAGATGGCTTCTAAGTCTTTTCTTTGTCCTGTTGTTGTTAGGTGCCGTCATGTCATCTCTGACTCATGGCAACCCTATGTATAGCAAAACAAAACAGTATTGGGTCCTATGCCAGCTCCACGATCTTTGCTTTACCTGAGCCCATCACTGTAGCCACTGTGTCAGTCCATCTTGTTGAGGACCTTCCCCTCATTCATTGACCTTCCACTTTACCAAGCATGATATCCTTCTCTAGGGAATAGTCTCTTCTTACAACATGACCAAAGTAGGTGAGATGAAGCCTGACTATTCTCGCTTCCAAGGAGCATCCCGGCTACACTTCTTCCAGAACAGATTTTTTAGTTCTTTTAGCAGTCCATGGTACTTTCAGCATTCTTCGTCAGCACCACAACTCAAAAGCATCGACTCTTCTTCAATCTTCCTTATTCATTGTCCAGATCTCACATGCATATCTTTGTCCTAAAACTTATATATTTGAAGACTTTTAGTGCAGTGACGGGTTTTATTTGCATTATAGAGCAAAAAGATCATGATGTTTACATGTACTTATTTTATTGGTTTGCTTTAGATTGGTGCCATTGTTGGCGGGGCACTCCTTGTGGTGGTTGCAGTTGCTGCTGTGGTGCTGTCTAAAGGAGCTTGGAAGTCAGACTTCACCCTTCTGATCATCAGTTTCATCTTTCCTTTGATTGGCCATCTTGCAGGCTTTTTGCTGGCACTTCTTACCCAACAGTCTTGGCAGAGGTACAGTTAAATTATCCATAAACTTTTTTGAGGAAGGTAAATTAAACCCAATGCCACTGGCAGTCGTAGGAGACATGAAGGGTTTTGACATATATGGTGGATGGAACAGGACAACTGAGCATAAAGAGGGTGTTGTTATTGTTGTTATGTGCCCTCGAGTTGGACCTGACTCATAGCAACTCCTTGGGTTTCCGAGGCAGTATCACTATGGAAGTAGATTGCCCAACCTTTCTTCCAAGAAGTGGCTGGTGGGTTTGAACCGCCAGCCTTCTGGTCAGCAGTCAAGTGCATTAGGCACTACGCCACCAGAGCTCCTGAGCAGATCATAATTATCTATGTAAATTGTCGTTGTTGTTATTTGCCGTCGAGTCGCCCCCGACTCATAGCGACCCCTCCTTGGGTCTCCGAGGCAGTATCACTATGGAAGTAGGATTGCCCAACCTTCCTTCCGAGGAGTGGCTGGTGGGTTTGAACTGCCAGCCTTCTGTAAATTTAGCAAATGCTAAATTGATGGGAAGTTGAAATCTGTGAAATTAGAATTATAGTGTTGCAAAAATCTGGACACATTTTTCTTATTATTCTATTAATTAAGTACAAGGAGTGAGATGGTTTCATAAAATAAAGGAATCATTCTATATTTTATGGCATGGCATAATCAAGAGCAAAAAGCAAAGAACAAGAGAAGGAAGACAAACTTGAGAAATAAGATAGGAATTTGTCTTAAATATTATTGTAAGTTGGGGTGTATACTTTAAAAATAGTGTTAAATACTAAAAATTATAATATCCCATGCTGGTATGCCTATATGGAGATTAGTGATGTCTTACAATGATGGTAGCAACATAATGGTATAAATTTTCTGCAAGGAAATTTAGTGTTGTATCGTTGTTGTTGTTGTTGTGTGCCATCGAGTTGGACCCAACTCATAGCGACCCCTCCTTGTGTTGCCAAGGCAGTATCACTATGGAAGTAGATTGCCCCATCTTCCTTCTGAGGAGCGGCTGGTGGGTTTGAACCGCCAGCCTTCTGGTTAGCAGTCAAGTGCCTTAGCTATTATGCTACCAGAGCTCCTGTTGTATCAATAGCCTTATAAATATTTATAGCTGTTAACTCAGTGATTTTAATTTTAGGAATCCATCCTAAAGTTAGCACTACCAGATATACATATAAATATTGATGTGCTAAGATGTTAATTATGGCATTATTTATAAATATTAACATGGAAACAATTTAAATACCTAACAATAGGGAGATATTCAATACATGATTGTCTATAGGATATGTCTATGTGATCAATTTTAATGAGTTTTGAAGTTACTCAAGAGATAAATTTAAATTAAAATAGAATAATAGAGCAAAATTGGATATCCACTTGCAGAAAAATGAAATAAGATCCATATTTTACATTACATGGAGCCCTGGTGGCATAATGCCTAGGCATTTGACTGCTAACCAGAAGTCTGGTGCTTCAAACCTACCAGCCACTCCTCAGAAGGAAGACAGGGCAATCTACTTCCATAGTGATACTGCCTTGGAAACCCAAGGAAGGGTTGCCATGAGTCGGATCCAACTCGACAGTAATGCATACAAACAGTAACTTAAAATGGACCAAGGAACTAGATGATAAACTCAAAATTAGTGGAAGATAACATAGGGACAAAGCTAGGAGTCCTCATTTATGACATAAATACACTATCAAACATAACTAAAAATATACAAACATAGAAGATAAACAAGATAACTGAGACCTCCTGAACATCAAGTACTTATGCTCATCAAAAGACTTCCCAAAAGAGTAAAAAGAGAACCTACAGACTGGGGGAAAAAACTGGTGAGAATATATCTGACAAGAGTGTAATCTCTAAAATATATAGAAAATGTCAAACACCTCAACAACAAAAGGCAAATAGACCATCAAAAAATGAGCAAAGGATATGAACAGACACTTCACAAAAGAAGGCATTCAGGTAGCTAAAAAACACATGAAAACTGCTTGGGATCATTATCCATTGTTGTTGCTGTTGTTATGTGCCGTCGAGTTGGACCTGACTCATAGCAACCCCTTCTTGGGTTTCCGAGGCAATATCACTACGGAAGTAGGTTGCCCAAACTTCTGTCTGAGGAGTGGCTGGGGGGTTTGAACCACCAGCCTTCTGGTTAGTAGTCAAGTGCCTTAGGCACTACACCACCAGAGATCCTATTGTTGTTGTTGTTGTTGTTGTTATGTGCTGTCGAGTCAGACCTGACTCATAGCGACCCCTCCTTGGGTTTCCGAGGCAGTATCACTACAGAAGTAGATTG